TTGTTTGCGTTACTCATGACTGTAATGGTTGTTCGCAGCTGAGTGCTTAACTGCCATGTGTTCCTTATGAATGTAATTATTGGCACTGAATTGTTCACTTTAAAAATGTGGACATTATGTTATGTGGGTTTTACTTAAAAACGAACACAAGGTAAAAACTAAGGAAATCTGAATAAAGTAGGGAATTCAGTTGATCAAATCAAAGAAATCCTTCCTATGAATATCAGAGGTCAGGGTGGCCTGGCCCTTTGAACAGTCTGGGTTGACTCATCCCCCTAGGGAGGAGGAGGCAGGCAGAGAATGAGGGGGGCAGGGCACCTTATTATAAATCAGCTGCTGTCTGCTAGGTCTGCTCAGCACCTTCCCTTTTCCCCTCCAGGCCCACCCATCATACACCTGCCCCAGGGCCTTTGCACCTGCTGTTCCTCTCATGTGGAGGCCGTTTCCCCTTGCTCCCCACCCCACTGTCCCCTGCTGCCAGGAGGTAGGTAGGATGGCACTGGCTCCTCCCAGGGCATAGGGGCCATTGCCTGTGACAAGGAGGCTGAGCAGCTGGGGAGGTTGAGGGCATTTTGGGGCCTTGAAGAGTCTAGTCCACCCCCCAGGGGGAAAAAAGACCTAATATGAGGTCCCACAGCAAGAGGGAAGATAAAGGAATGGCTGGGAGAGGTGACCCACATAAACATACATCGCAAATACAAGTTTAAAGTGAACTGTTGAGCAAGGTGGGCATCTCCCCACTATCACGACCCCAGGAACTGAGATAGCTGGGGTGAAGTGGATGCTGCCCTTCTAGAGGGTTCTGAGAAAATGGCATCTGAGTCTCCATGACAACAGAAGGCCATGGCACCACAATCCACAGGCTCAGGGGACTAGTCTGTCCTGATATCATTGGACAGTGTGGAGGGGCAGGTCCTGGGGGTGCTGACAGCAAAGGGGGATTGTAAGTAACCAAGGGGGGGCCACATGGGGTATTTTTAGGCACTGAACACAGCTCTGAACTATTTCCACCGCCACTCCCCAGAGCGGGCTGGGCGACTATTTTGGTGCCCAGTTCCAGCAGAGGCGGGGCAGTGAGTCACTGCTGGGCCGGACAGGCAGCTGCAAGGGCTGAGCCAGGGGGATAGCAGCCTGCCACTTGGGCCCCCTTCTAGAACACCATGCCCATGTCTGAGTGGGATGAAGGGGGTCCCGGGTGAGAATCCAGATCCCAGGCACTGAGAGCTCTGGTAGCATAGTGGCTAAGACACCTGCCTGCTAACCAGACGGCTGGCGGTTCAAACCCACCAGCCACTCCTCGGAAGGAAGGTTGGGCAATCCTACTTCCGTAGTGATACTGCCTCGGAAACCCAAGGAGGGGTCGCTATGAGTCGGGGCCGACTTGACGGCACATAACAACAACAACAACAAGGCACTGAGCTTAGATGGTTTCAAGCATTCATCAAGCACTTGCTATACACTGGGCTCCAGGATGGTTATCTATATCCTTCTCTTGTGGTGAAGTCACTATTATTTCTGCATTTAATCATCAGGGAAATTGAAGCACAGCAAGGTTAAGACACTTCCAGGGCACCTTGGCCCACACCCAGGTGCTGTGGTTGGTGGAACAATCAGGGGAGAACATTGGAAAGCAGGAGGGGACGTCACGCATCCCTACCCCTGTTGACCATGCTCCTGGTTTAGTGGATGATGCAGCTGAGCAGAAGGTAAGGGATGGACCGTTTAAGTTCAAAGAGGCGATGGTTCCAATCCTGGGTAACCTGGGGTGGGGGTGTCACTCACCCTCTGCCTCCCTTGATGTTGGGAGCTGCCAGGCACACCCGGTGACAAGTTAGCGTGGACTGCTCCAGTGTGGGCTTGTGTTTGGAGCACTTGTTTTTTTCCGTCTGTGAAATGGGTTGCTGAGCCCCACCTGACATGAGGTAAGCCCCCAGGTTGGAAGGGATTTGGAAACCCAAATGCTGAGACAAGGGAGTCCAACCCTTAGCCTCTCATCTGTGAAGCAGTGCAGTGGCCAGAAGTCTGAGGTGCTGGAGTGTCAGGTGAGATGCAGGTGGGAGAAAACAGGACAGATGCCTGTGATTTCCTGTGGAGGCCACTGGCCCCCAGGCCCTAGTTCTTGGCTGTCCCCTGAACAGGCCATGTCCACTCCAGCCCCAGGGGCCTGCCTCTGGTGCTGCCTCATCCTCTTCTCTCCGTGTCTGGTGGTTCTTTCTAGATCCTAGGACTTGGTGGTTGGACCCACTTACCTCAGAAGCTTCCCCCTCTGCTGTTTCAAGGGGGCTACTGCCTGGGCCCTCAAGGCAACATCTTCTCCCACCTCTAGGACCCTCATACCAGACTGAGCCCCACCCACCTCCTCCTGACCTCCTTGGTCCTCCCAGGCTCCAGCAATAAGCTGATCAATGCCCTGTCTTATACAGACCCCTCTGTGCCCCCTGTATCACAGTGGCCCTCACCCTTGCCCATTTCCTGCCCCACTGAGGGTCCTCCTCTTACCACAGGGCCTTTGCAGAGCCACTCCCTCAGCCTGAAAAATACTTAGCTGAGTGCCAGCTCCCTCACCCCTTAAACCCTTCCCTGAAAGCCACCTTCTCTGACCTATTACTTTGGGGCATGCTTCCAGGCCCTGGTTTCCTCTTCTCCAGGGCATTTATCACCATCTGACCTTCTACGAGTTCATGGCTGTGTCCTCAGTGCTTGTGGCCAAGGGCTCCCCCCCATCAGCCCTGTCATCTGGTAGACACCAGGCCAGCTCATTCATTGCCCCCCTCCCCCCCACTGCCAGCCCTGTCTCACAGAGGGACTGAGGACACCAGGACACGTGCTGGGCCTGTTAAGGAACACATTGCTGGGGGCCAGGGCACGGAGATCCCGGTGGCTGTTGGGGCCTGGGTTATACTGCCCCTTCCTAGGAGGGGGAGAGGTGGGAGGCTCAGGGGGAGGGACCTTCTCTGCAAAGCACAGCCAAGGAAGTAGATGCAGGTGTGTGTGTGTGTGTGTGTGGGGGGGGTGCCCAGGCAAGGACAGGGCCTCTGGATTCTCTGTAATCCCGAGTCTGTGTCCCCAAAATGACTCTGACTCTAGTGCCCCAGGGCAGGGGCAGCCGTAAGAAAGGGAAGGGAGGGTGGACTGGGGCAGGGAGGAGGGGCGAGGCGGGGAAGACCTCCTTACCCTCCCAAGTAGATCCCAGGGAGAGACTGGAGGAGGAGCATGGGAAACGCCCACTGCTCCAAGGGGCCCTGCACCAGTCAGGTGACGAAGGCGCGGCCTAAAAGACGAACTTGTCCCTGCTGCGGAAGCCCAGAGTTAAGAGGCAGTCTGGTGCTTTTGGTTTCTCTTCCCATCGATGGGCGATGGGCCCGTGGATGAGGCTTCTGGAAACTCACCAGGGGAGGAGACTGAGGCTGGGACCGCCCCACACACTGCCCACTCTGCTCCGGGAAGATGGAGGCTTCTGGGGGTGGCCTGGGGGCTGTCGTCACAGGCGGGGAGCCAGGCTGCTGCCAGCTGGAAAGGTCAGGGTGGCGTACCCAATGGGCACCGGGGGCTGGTGACACAGGGGCAACATAGCCAGGCTGAGCCCCCAAACCAGGAAGACGTAGGGAGGGGCCCCCAGGACATAAGACATGTGACTGCAGGCTGACTCCATGCACAATCCCTGACAGCTTAGCCTGGACCTCCCCGCCTGTAACCTTCTACCCAGGGTGGGGCAAAGGTCTACCCCTCCTGTCCATCCCAAATGGCCTATTTGGGATGAAGACGCTTTGGTCCATGGGGTACCCTCACTGCTCTGTTAGGAGACGAGGGAGGATTTAAGAGACTGGGGTTAGGTGACTAGGAGAGGGCAGTGTAGGCATCAGGGCCACCTGGGGGGCGGGTCTGACAAGTGAGGTGCAGAGATGAGCAAGGTTCCTGGCGAGTACTCAGGGGTCCAGACATGAAGCAGCACACCAACATGCCAAAACTTGTTTATTACAGGAATGGCTCCCAAAGGCCCAAGGACAGCCACGTCTGCACCCAACAGCACCAGGGCCGTGTCCTGTCGCCATCTGGAACTTTTCCAAAGTCTCAGGCCGGGCCAAAGCGTGACTCCGGTAGTGATGCAAAGGAGATGGGTCCTGGAGAGGGTGCTAGTGTCCCTGAGGTTTGTTTGTCTGGGCACAGACCCTCTATGGAGCCTGGTTTAACTGATGGCTCATAGATTGGTTAGATAAGGAAACTTGTAGGGAATAAGGGAAGCTGTTAGCAGAATGGGCTGAGTCTCCATGAAACCACCCCTCTGCTTCTCCCAATATATGTGGGAAGGTCAGCTCTTGGGGACAGTGATCTTTAGACAGGTGTGGCTTACCTGCAGATGCCCAAGGTGGACACCACAAAGGTGTATCCCAGGGTTCAGAGGGAGTTAAACATGTGGTTTCTCTGACTTTTAATTTTGGAACACAAAATGAGATCCCCGACCCCATTCTAGGGCACGTGCCGGTCTCCATGTGTTTGGAAAAGGCCATCTGGGGCTACATTTAAGGGACTTGATGCTCTAAACCTTGGCAGGCCCAGCTGAAAATAAACCCAGTCTCTTGTCACTGCACAGAGATCTTGCTTGGTGCTGAAGGAGCCACGTAGGGGCCACCATATATGTAGGCAAAGAAATATAGACCAAGCTTCAAGGCCACATGTCACATGTCACACATGGGACCTCCCAGGAACTTGGCGGCAGGTCCTAGAGCAACTTTATAAAACCAGAAATATCAAGACTCCTGCAACTTGAACTGCTGCTTTAAAAAAAAAAACAAAAAAAACACACCAGGGTGGGGTGGGGTGGGGTTCTTTTTCCTAAGAGGGTTTGAAAGGAAATAAGGAAATGCTAGGGAGTACTCTCCCTACACCTGCCACCTCTTCTTTCTGAACAGATTAGCACACTGGGAGGAAGGTGCTGCAGCAGCAGAGTGGGATGGGGTGTCCCATGGCCCTATAGTCTCTGTGTATGTGACAGGTGCAGCTCACTGCTTGCCAGCCTGTCGGCCGGGCTTCTTCTCCTGCTGGCCCCTGCCAGCGCCTGGGATCCCACCACGGCCACGGCCACCAAACACACCTGTGGATGGAGAGAGAAGCTGCAGGGCTACCGAGCTCCAACCCCACCATGGGAGTCCCACGTACCCAGGACTGGATTTGGGGGAACCTAAGACTTGGGGCCAGGCTATTTGACCCCCGTGAACCTAAGTTTCCTCACCTGTGAGGTGAGGACACAGGGTGGAATAGAGAATGTGGGGCAGAACTCCTGATTCTGGGCCAGGTACAGTGAGTGCCCCAGGTTGTTTTTGTGACAAGGGAGGAGACCTGGCTTCGAGCCTCAAGATGCCCAGGGAGGACAGAGGGCAGATTGGGGCAGGGTTCCCGGGGAGAGGATCTTCTTCATGGGGCACAGAGTCACTGGAGAGGACAAACCCAGAAGGGCTTCTAGGAGGGAGGGGCAGAGATGGAGACCTGGGCCCCCAGCATCTCACATCCACCTGCCCAGGAGAGAAACAAAAGGGGGGAGTTCTGCATGTTCAGGCCTCGGGTGGGGGAATTCCAGGTGGTCTAGGCCTTGGGAAAGTTCTCAGCTCTTGCTAGTGCTTTCCAACCCCACATAGCTGGAGGGGTCATGGGTGGTGGACACCAGCCTCACCCGGTCCTTGGAAACCCTCTCTTGAAGTTTTATATAAATGGGCAGAGTACAGCATGGCTACGAGGCTGGCACGTGGCTCCCATTAACACAGTGATGGCACTAACCAAGAATGTCAATGCTGAGCTAGGACTCCAAGCACAGGACAGGGGAAGGAAGGGGGACCCACCTCGCCCAGCGCCCCCCATGCCACGGCCCTTCTGTTGCTTCTGCTGCTGCAGGCCACCTCGCCCACGGCCCTTGGCTACCACCTCATCCTTGACCATGTCGATGATCTCGTCAGGGATGCGGAGGTATTTGATGGTGCTGCCACGAATATAGCACTCTGGCATCCTCCAGAACTTGTCCCCGTCCTGTAGGAGGGTGGGTGTCAGTTACTGTGTACTTCCGATTGGGGGCAGACACCAGGTGGCTAGCTACTACCCCCTACAGGATAGATAACTGGCCCACAATACCCCTAGAAGCTTCAAATTCTTGGTCCTGGCGACCCCAATGAGGGGGCACCACTGAGGGTGTGCTGCAGCCCCAAGTGGGGAAGATAGAGTGTAGGCTGTCTGTCCAGACGCAGCAGGCTGGAAGCTCATCCATGGGGCTGTCCAGCAACCCAAGAACTCACCTGCAATCAGGAGGCATCTAGAAAACTCCAGCTGCTCACACCTCCGAACCAGTGACCCCCACATGCTGAGTGGATATAGATGTACTCAAGACCTCACCCAACACCATTGGTTACAGCTGGACTAGACATGGCCCAGGTGCCCTCAGGGGGACTCCAAAACACGTCATGAAAATAAAGTGGGGCACAGGGCAGCATCTGGTGGGCACTGAGGTTCCCACAAGTGCCTGTCAGGAAGAGTCATGGCCAGGGAGGGTGGATGGGGTGGGAGGGGGCGGCCTTGGCAGAGAAGTGACTCAGGCTATATAGCCTGCTGTGTGTGGCCATGGGGAGCCCCAAGCACAACATCTACTCCACTCAGGCTATCTCATCCCTGGCTGGCCAGGAGCAGGTGCCTCCACGTGGCTTCACCAGCAGTAAGTGAGTGGGTCATTACAAGGGCAGGTGGCCTCAAGCCCCTAGGAGCCATCCTCCACCTCAGTTCTAGTTTTTATCTCCTGGTGGCTTGGACACATGTCCTAGCCCTCCACAAAGGCCAGATCTTGTCCATAGCCTGGACAAAAGGCACCAGAGGCCAGCAGAGGGCCCAGCCTGTGCTGGAGCACCACCAGCCTCATCTGAGTGTGGGGACTGGCAGCCACCGGCATCCAGAGGACACTTCCTTCCATGTCAGGATGGACACAAACAGATGCAATATTGAGATAGGACGGTGGCCTGACCCCAGCCATGCCCCTATTCAGCACCTTCACAAGCACCCTGGAGGCCTAGTTTCACAGTTCAGGCTTCCCTCAGGGGGACCCCAGAGGTGCTGGGTGTGAGTGTGAGCAGCATCTCAACTCTCCCCACAGGCCTATATCCCCACCGGCAAGTGAGGGCAGAGGCTCGGTAGGCCCCCAGGCCAAGTAAGCACCTCCAACCACACTACTGCCCCCGATGTCGCCTTCAGAGTTCATACCCATAGTGCTCCACCAGGTGTGCACGGGGCACGGCACGAGGGCTGCACTCACCCGGGACGTGCAGATGACCTCACGTAGGTTGATATTCATCCAGTTGTCACAGCTCACCAGGTGCCCATTGTACGTCTCCCCATTCTTTAGCTCCACCAGCTGGAAGAGACCCTGCTGGTTAGTGTGCCCACTGAGCTGGGCCCTGCAGCAACCCTCTGGATGGTCACCTGGCCTCAGGCAGCCCCTAGGGCCCCGGAACCCGAGCTCACACCACTGGTCAGCCCTTCTCACAGACAGGCACTCAGCTTCCTCTTTACGTTTCTCTAGGGATTGTGGGGGAAGATGGGACAATCTACTTCCGTAGTGATCTTGCCTTGGAAACCCAAGGAGGGGTCACTATGAGTCGGGGCCAACTCGACAGCACATAACAACAGCGATTGTGGGGAGTTCCCTGGGTGGCACGACAGTTAAGTGCTCAACTACTAGCCAGAAGTTCAGTGATTTGAACCCAACCAGAAGCACCTCAGAAAACAGGCCTGGCTATCTGCCTCTGAAAGGTCATAGCCTTGAAAACCCACGGAGCACTGTTCTACTCTGCACACATGGGACCACCGTGAGTTGGAATCAACTGCATAGGAACTAACGACAACAGGAATACACCCAAGGGTACTGAAAACAAAATATGCATGTGAATGTTCATTGCAGCACTATAACAAGCAAAAAAGGTAGAAACAATCCAAGTGTCCATCGATGAATAAACAGATAAAACCCCATGTGGTCCACCCACACAATGCAGTATTTCTCAGCCAGACAAGGAATGATGGTCTGATAACCTGCTACAATGGGGAAGAAATGTGGAAACATGCTGAGTAAGAGAAGCCAGACACAAATGACCACATATTGTAGATTCTGTTGACAGGAAATGTCCAGAAAAGGGAAATCCAGGTGAATCCACAGAGACAGAAAGTAGACTAGTGGTTGCCAGGGACTGGGGGTGGGTGAACAGGCAGTGACTGCGAATGGACATGGGATTTCCTTTTAGAAGGATGAGATTTTTTAATTAATTTATTTATAATTGTGATTTGGGTAAAAGTTTACAGAGGAAATTCATTTTCCATACAGCAGTTCATACACATTTTGTCTCATGATATTGACTGCAATTCCCCCCAACAGCTCTCGTCCCACTTCCTCCCTGTAGCCACCTCTTCCCTGTGTCCTTCCCTCCCATGCACTCCCGCCCCCCGCCCCCACCTGTCCCTGGGCATACATTGCCCTTCTGTTCTCCCATGACTGATCACTCCAAGGAGTGTTATCTACCTGATGTAAATGTTCACCCCATGTGCCTGTCTATTATTTGGCTGGAAGCCACAGGACTGAGTTCAGTTCCAGACCTGAGGGTAACAAAGGACCATAGTCTTAGGGGTGAGGAAGTGTCTCACAGGCGCTATCAGACCAGCACACCTGGTCATTTTTTTTTTTTTTTTTAATGATTTTTTGAGTTTTGTTCCACAGTGTTCTGATGAAAATGTTCTTGAGTTAGATGTTGATGATGGTCACACCATCTGTAAGTGTACTAAATGCCACTGAATTGTGCACTTTTAAGGCTGGATCTCATGGCATGTGAATTATACCTCAGTAATAAAAACTTAAAAGAGGAAAGGAAACAGTGACGCAGACAGTTGTTGGGGATAAAAGCAGTTTGGGGACAGTGTGCATAGCATGACCCCATCTATGTTAAAGGAAATTATACATACATCCCCACACAACTGGTGGCTGGATATATGTGGTGGTTATGTTTTTGTGTCAACTTGGCTGGGCCTGGTTGAGTGGCTGGGCAGCTGGTGGTAGTTATTCCCCATGATGAGACTGGCAATCAACTCCATGGTGGACTCTTACCACGAGCAGTTGAGTAGCTGCCTTTGGATATGTGGTCTGCTTCCTGCATATAAGGAGAAGCTTTGAGAATGGTCTCTAGCCTATGGCATGCTTGGACCCTGCATGTAGCCGTGTCGTTGCTCAGCAGCCTGCTATGCTTTGCTGACCTTGGGACTTACAATGGACTTAAATTAATGGCCTGCCATGTGGTTTGGTAACATCAGGACTGCGTTTTTACTTGTCAACCTTGGGGCTTCTCAGCCTCAGCAGCCAGCAGCTGTCTGAGTAAAGAAACGCCTCTAGCTCCAATGGGCCGGGAGCAGGAGACAGAGCTGGACCCCAAGGTTGAGGAGCTTTCACCTAGAACCTGGCACTTTGAACTTGGACTTAAAGCCTCCAAATTGTAAGAATAAACTCTTGTTTGTTAAGGCCATCCCATTTGTGGTATATTCCCGTCAGAGCGACACTAGGTAACCAGAACAACGTATGTCTCAGGGACCAGCTAAGGAGTGGTGGACAGGAATGAGGGGGGCATCCACACCCCACGTGTCTCCCCTGCTTGAGCTGCTTTAACAAGTGTGTCCCTTCTGTTGAGGCATTTGTGTGTTTATGAGTTCGTTTGGAGAGATGCTGAGGGGTCCGGAGTCAAGCTGGGTGTAATCTTTACAGAAGCTGCTTGCCAGGCCTGGATCTGCTGCGGTGCCTCTGGGTGGGTTAGAGGAGGCGACCTCCGGGTTACTAGCCAAGTGTAGACGATCTGTGCCACCCAGATCGTCACCCTTTGGCAAGAACCAGAAATCACATTGGTCTGGATGTGTGCTGGGGGACAGTGGGGCATAAACTGCTGCGTGGAGCCAACAGGCAGGAAGGGAAGTGGCTGGAGGTTCCCTGACTATGGCCAGGTGTCCCATGCCCCAAGGTCCCCTTCGTCCGTGGCCAGGTGTCCAACCCCTATCCCAAGGCTCACCCCTAACGGAGCAAACTCACCATGGGGTGATTCTGGGCTGTCTTCAGCAGTGACAAGGGGAGCTGAAAAGCAAAGAAAGACATGTGACTGGGTTATCTGGCCCTGAGCTTGGGATCCAGTGAGGCCCTGCTGGCCCTTAGCTACTCAATGCCCAGACCACAGAGCCCCGACTCTTCACACAGCACCCCAACCTCCCACTCATAAACCCTAGAACACTCCCATCGCCTAATTCAGGAAAAAACACAGCGCTACCCCCAACTCTCGGAGGGGTGGCTATCTAGTCCTGGGGCTGACCACCTGGGTACTTCTTTATAACCTCAGCTCACACATTGCACTCCAACAGGGTAGGTTACACTGCTTTCCAGTTATAAATGTGCCACAAGGCCCAGACCCTTCCCCGGCTTTGGCATCGTCTCTGAGACATACCCACCCTGACACACAAAGTCTGGGCCCTTCATTTTCAGTGTTGTGGGTGGCTGTCATCACACTCACTTTACACATGAGGAAACTGAGGCTGAGAGACTCAGGAGCTTGTTGGGGGCTACAAGCCACTGAGGGGCAGAGCCCCCAGTCCTGTCTACCTGAAGCCAGCATGCGCTGTGCCTCGGGGGCCTCCCCAACAGACCAAGAGTGACTGCCAGGAGCCAGGAATACCTAGAAATCTGCTCTGAGGAGGCAACACCCGAGCTGGGTTTTCAATGCCAGAAACTGACCAGGTGAAAGGTGAGGTACATTCCAGAAAAAGCCTGTGGTCACTCCAGCTGAAGACAGATAAAGGACGAGACTGTCTCACACAGAACTCACCCAGACAGGATGCTACCACCACCACCACCCCCCTGGCTATCGGCTGGTGGTGGTACTGTGGAGTTTGCATGTTGCTGTGATGCAGGAAGCTAGGCCATAGGCATTTCACATACCAGCAGGGTCACCCACAGTGGACAGGTTTCAGCAGAGCTTCCAGACTCAGACTAGGAAAAGCAGTCTGGCCGTTGACTTCTGCAGATCAGCCAATGAGAACTCTGTGGGTCAGTACAGAACACTGTCCAGCTCACTTGCTTTGAACACATCAAAGGAGATCACGTTTGGCGAAGTCAGAGGGTCAGTGAGGGCAACGGAGACCCTCGGTGAGATGGAAGGCACAGTAGCTCCAACAATGGATGCGAACATGCCGCCAACTGAGAGGATGATGCAGGAATGGGTAATGCTGTTGTACACAGTGGGCACGAGCTGGAGTTGACTCAACGGTGTTTACTTATCTAGTAAGGTCAATGTTCAAGTCATCCCTCTTCCTATCATTACGGAATTTTGTTTTTCAATCTGTCTTGTTACCAGTTGCTATCGAGCTGATTCTGACTCACGGTGACCCCATGTGCAGCGCAGAACCATGCTCCACAGGGTTTTCAAGGCTGCGGGCTGTTGGAAGCCTTTCTTCCACAGCCCTGCTGGGTAGGTCATACTGTCAACTTTCCAGCTAGCAGCTGAGAGCTTCACTATTTTCACCACCCAGAACTCCCCAGAATTTCTTTTTAATAATGAGCATGCAGAGTTTTTACACGTAACAACAACAACAAAAATCAGCTCTTTTCATTTGGGAAACACAAAAAGCCTGGCCCGTGAGCTGCAGACACCTCTGATCTCAGGAGTGGAGCCACGGTCCTGGTCTGACGCCACCCATTTCAGGTGGGAGTGACAAAGAGGAACAGGGCCTGAGCCTTTGCCATATGTAGCCTTGCCAACTTTGGGGTTCCCAGCCTGTCTCACGGTCCAGAGGCCCCTCTCTAGGAAAGCCCCATTCTATCCTTGCACCCCGGGGTCTGCAGGTGGTGGCTTCTTCAGGGAGGCCCTGAGAGGGCACTTGTTCCTCCTCGCCAGCTGAGTGGAGGGAATGGAGGGGACCCTGAGGCCTTTCACAAGAAGAGCTGTGTGTGGGTGGTGGTCAGCCCCAGCAGGAAGCCAGGCTCCAGTCCACTTCCTCAGCTGGCTTCCTGGAAGGCCAGATAAGGGGGAAGCAGGGGCGGCTGTGTGTGAAATGAGTGCAGCGGGCCCAGCTGTGTTTCCCAAAAACTAGCTGCTGTTGAGTAGACTCCAACTCACAGTGACCCCATGTGTGTCAGGGTAGAACTGTGTTCCACAGGGTTTTAAAGGCCTGATTCTGGGGAACAGATCACCAGGCCTTTCCTCTGAGGTACCTCTGGGTGGACTCAAACCCCAGCCTTTCCATTAGCAGATGAATGCACCACCCAGGGACTCCCCATTTTCTGGATGGGGCCACTGCATCAGCTCTTCTGAGAAACTCCACACACACCCCCCCAGTGAGTGTGGGAGCCATGGCTCAAATAGAGTCTGGACACCACCTCCGACTACAGCATGGTGTCTGCCCCCGTGTATGGGAGTTGGAATCCGTGGGAGGAGACACCCACCAGCAGGGAGTCGGTCAGGCTGGCTCTGGGAAGCCAAGAATGGATGGCGGGCCACAATCCCCACTTCCCAGGGTATCTGGCGCCCAGAAGGGAGGGACCTGCTGGGAACACAGCCAGAACCTGGAAAAGCCGAGGGAGGCTAATGTCTGCTGTGGGCACAAGATTTGGACATCCTCCTGTAGTGTTCACGTGATCCCCAAGCCCGTGATGGCCACCCTCAGGCCACCACTGGGCCCAGCACAGCCAAAGAGGGCAGTCCCCTCCCTACCAAGCAGTAAGGCGATGTCTGGAGCATAAACGGGGTCGGTCACGGCCTGCTCACCATCCTCCAGTGGGCTTCCTGGCACTTCCCAAACCAGGTCTCTGCCTGGCTCCAGCCACTTAGCCTTCTGCCCCTCACAGCTGCCAGGCCGCCCACCCTACTCCTCCTCGATCCACCCATGGTGTCTGCACACACATTCCTAAAAACCCGTCTGGGAGCTGAAGTTTCCTCTTCTCCACATACTGCTGTTTGTCACCATCCAGTGGATAAGTCCACTCTCTAATTATCTTGTTTATCACCTGCCTCCCTGGCTAGACTGGAAATGCCAGTTCTCTGCTAGACTGCAAAACTGGAGGGTGTGGACTTTGATGAGCTTGGTGCCAGGCATGGGACAGGGACACGTAAACATTCACTAAACAAAGAAACAAGGGAGAGATGCATACTCCCCAAGGAAGTGTGGAGAGGGGGGCAGGATATTCTCTACCCCTCATAGAGAACGGCAGAGAGGGACTTTGATGGGAGACCATTCCACGTCTGTCAGTTTGTTGTACTGTGGTTGTCTATAGGTTGCTGTGATGCTGGAAGCTATGTCACAGGCATTTCAAATCCTAGGAGGGTCGCCCACAGCAGACAGATTACAGTGGAGCTTCCAAACTATGAAAGACCAGGAAGAAGGACCTGGCAATCTACTTTAGAAAATCAGCCACTGTGAAACCCTATGGATCCCAGCAGAACACTGCTCCAACTTGCTTGCTTTGGACACGTCATCAGGAGGAATTGATCAACAGAGGAGGATGTCACACTCAGAGTAGAGGGGAGGCCCTCAGTGAGATGGACTCAAACATACCAGTTACTTTAAGGACGACACAGGACCCAGCAGTTTCGTCCCGCTGCACTTAAGGTTACCATGAGTCAGGGTCAACTACACAGCAGCAAACAACTACAGATGGGGTCTGGAGGCACGAGGATTGGGGGTACTTGACCCCCAGCTGAGGCAGCTCTCTTAGGGAAGCGGCCTTCTTGCTGCCTCCCACATTCTTGTCCCCATACAATGCTGGACAGAGTCTCAAAAGGAAGGGCTAGGTCCTCAAGGACTCGAAACCCCACGGGGAAGAGGAAGCTGCATCAGTGTTGAGTAAGACAAGCCCACTGAGAGGTGGTAAAGTCACCAAAGTCTCAGGAAAGAGAATTCCTCCCTCAGATGTCTGGAGCCCTGAGCTCAAGTCCAGGCCCACTAAGGACGAATCCCCATGCCCCCCTCCCCCATCCAGGAAGCCTTCTGGAAGGTTAAGAGGGACTCTCCCTCCAGCCTGTCCCTGGCAACAGGGTGACTGCATCTCAGTGTGTCTGCTCCTGAGCTAGGACACTCCTGGAGGGCCAGGACTCAAGGACTCCACATGTCTGAAAGGGTGGGAACAACACCGAGTTCACACTCTGTACAGGCCCTGTTCTAAGCTCCAGGTCCCAGGGTGGCATGAGCAGTCTGTCCTTAACTACTAAAGTTGGTGTTTTAAACCCACCCAGCACTGCTCCAAAAGAAAGGTATGGCAGTCAGCTTCCAATATATCACAGCCAGGAAAATCCCATGGCGCACAGTTCTATTCTGTAACACGTGATGGAACCATGATCTGGAACTGGCCCACAGTAAAGGGCTGGTTTTGGCTCTAGGCTCTGGGAACCCCTCAGGGATTAAAACAAAGATGTTGCTTCGAGGCTCTAAAGACATGGATCTTTCTGGTTCTGCCCAAGCCCTTGTGCCACCTCCATCTCTGTGTTCACCAGAAAGACTACTCCCTCCTCATCTCCCTACCCGTCGGCAGGATTTAGGGCAAGCTCTTGATACCCCCCCCCAGCTCTGAGAAGTGTGAAGAGACACCTCCAGGGCCTCCTGACTCCAGAATTCCCGACTGTCTCAGTGGATGCTGAAGTCACTTCTCCACTGAGGGCCAGGCCTTCTCCAAGAAGGCTCCCTGGGTGGGCTTCTATTTCCCTGCAAGTCTGTTAGGGTCACCTAGTCCTACTCTGGGCCTCGATTTTCCCTTCTGTGAACCGGGAGGATGAATTTAGCCGACTCTGAAGTCCAATCCATCCAGAAACGACGTGCTGTGTGAAGCAAAAAAAAAAGCAATCCCTTCTCTGGGCCTGTTTTCGAGTCCGAAACAGGAGGTGCAGGAAGGCATGCTGCTAACACGCTAGGCACCTTCCGGCCTTGAGATACCCTGAACCAGCTTAACTGGAGAATTCACAATGGCCTCTTGCTTTCCTGCGCCCCATTTTCTATTCTATGCGCTCGAAGCTCCTTCCTCGCCCGAGAACCCACTTTGAAGCATTCATAATGCCTAGAGCGGATTCACTCCCGCTTGGACCTCAGTTTTCCTCTCTGCGAAATGGGAAGACTGCGGTTAGGTCGCTTTAGGATGATTCCACGTCCGTTTAGCTCTAAATCGCCAGAGACTGACATGTTGGGGAACCCGGGAGAGCCACCTGTCTTCTCAGCCTCAGTTTCCCGCCTCAGGGCGGGAGGCGAGTTTCGAGACCTAGACTACACGCTCGCTCTGCGCCGCCCAGAAGGCTCCTGGCAGCTGTGCTCCCCGCCTCCCGGTGAAACCCCGCCATCGCGTTCCCCTCACCATGATGCCGGCGAGGACCCGGCTCGCCGGCCACTTCCGCCGCCACCGCCGCTCGCGCCCTTAACAGCCCCGCTGCGCGCCACTAGGCTAAAGAGGATTGGCAGAGACGCGAGCCAATCATCATGGGATTGGGGGAAGGAAAACCAATCCCGGCGGAGAGGGACGGAGCTTTGTGTCAGCGAGGGGCGGGGAGAAGCCGTGTTCCCGCCGGAGAAGCCGTAAAGTTCTACTATGAGTGCGGCGAAAGGGCGTAAAGCAAGGCTTGGATAAGGAAGGTTGAGCAGGGCCGCGCCCTCGCCAGTGTCCTGTGCGCCACGCTGTGGGTAAAGCCGGTGTTGCCTCGTTTCGAAATGGAAAAATCGAGACTCCATGGTTCTTGAGACACAGCCAGCGATATCCTTCGGGGCCCCTAGTCGTGTAATTCTTATGATCGAAGTTAATACTTATTCAGGGCAGATATTTTGGTAGATTGGAACCCCAGACGTCGCAACTCTCCGAGCTTCAGTTTTACCCTACTGTGAAATGCACGTACTAATAGAATCTACTGTAGAGAAGGTTGTGGTCAGCAAACAAGTTAAGCCCTGAAAAAGCACTTAGAATTGTATCTGACACATGCTGTTGTTGTGGTTGTTATGTGCTGTTGAGTTGGTAAGCGCTTAATACATGTGCATGTAACAGTTATTTCTTAAGCACAGAAAACACAACTCCCGGCCCCTCTGGGGCTTATGAGCCAGTCACAGAGATGATAAATAGGCATGTTTTGCTTTCCTGGGGCTGCCAAAACTTGGTGGCTTAAAACAACAGAAATTTATTCTCTGGCAGTTCCAGGGCCAGAAGTCTGAAATCAAGGTATTG